GTAGTATTGTACCACCAATATTCTAGTCAAGAGTAAACTTTACTTCTCGGTTGTGTAAATGTTAGTCCGCCTGAGGCATTTCCCATTTAGATATCATCTACAAAACCGCTGGTCATCTAATACTTAAAAAACGTCGTCCAAGTGTATTTACCTCCCCACTTGAAGTGAAAGAACTTTCGGCTTCTTCCCATTTATCTCCTTGGTTACCTGACTTGGTAAATATATTTTTATTTCCATTGAAGACGTTAAGAGTTCCCACTGAATTCCCAAACATGTGATAAAAGAACTTCAGGCAGAACAGCCCGGTTGTGGAAGTCTTGAAAAGAAGCTTGGCGTTGTCCCCAGATTTCCTTGGAGACGAGGTCTCGATGTACGCATAAAATCCTAAAATTAATCCATAATTTCAACAAGAAGAACAAGTTTCAACACGTAATGATGAATGAGACAAGACTAAGAAAATCAGAATGGTGAAATGGAAAAAGAGGCTGAACTCGATTCAAGTAAAGTCAATACATCAAAACTGATAACAGCAACAGCAACAACAACAACACGGGTAGAAGAACAACAACAATTATAACAACAGTAGCAGTAACGAGAACAACAGAATTTGTATATACCCTTTCAATGTGCCTGAATTGGCTAAATCTTCGATTACGTATATATTTAAACTGAAGCTGTGTCTTTAAAGGTTTCACCTCGATTTCGGTTACGGTTTCACCTCGGTTTCCAAAAAGTAGTATTTAGTTGTTTTTTTCTCGGTTGGGTTGCTTTGAAGCAGCCAAACCTTCTATTTCATGGTATCAAACGCATTAAAGGAAGTTTGGATAAACAGTGCCCAGTGATCGATATGATTGTAGAGTAGGGATGTTAACGATAAAGCTTAAGGGTATTTAGTCAGTTATACCGAAGGAGGTCGAAGGAATCGGACACAAATTGACGTCAGTGCTTCCCTTCCGGGTTTCTGTTGCCGTGATGAAATGACTAAAAGTACTCTTAGTCAGGTCAAGCCCATCTTATGTCACACTAACTTTAATCGACTTTAACTAGTTAATTAATCTACAACACTTTGAGAGGAAGCCACATCAGCCTTAGCTGGTTTTCATGCGGTTCCTATATCCTGATCGAATTGGAATTTAGAGATTTTGGTTTATGACGTTCATGTGTAGGGAGGAAAACCGGAGTACGCGGAGAAAACCGTCGGAGTAAGGCGAGAACCAACAACCAACTAAATCTACTTCTGGCACCCGGCCGGAATCGAACCCGGGCCACATTGGTGGGAGGCCAGTGCTCTCACCACTGCGCTATCTGCCCCAAAGAAATAGAATGCTAGTCTTCATTTACCTGAACCTCCGTGGCCTGATGAGGGACCAGTGTTGGAAGATGGGGTTGCTCCAGATCTCAATGTCCAGTCGAACTTGTCTGACTTATCTTGTGTCCAGCCCGAGCACAACCGATCATTGTCAAAGTCACAACCAGATGCTGTAGAGGAAGTGAAATGATGAGCGTTGCAACAGAACAAGACCTTATCAGTGCGGCCGAGTTGCATTGTTTTTAAAAAGCGAGAACAAAACAAAACGAATTTTGAGCTGAGAATGTTTGTTTGTTACATACATATTTTATTACAACTTCCCAAGGGGGATTTTCAGAGGTAATAATGCCAATTCAGTATAGACATCTAGAACAAAATCTACGATTACAAAAACTGTCATATTAGATAAATACAAAAAACAATAAAAGCGAAAAAAGAAAAAAAAATTAATTGCAAATATTGAAAATTTTGATGTCACGCCTCCATAATCGGTCACCTTCAGCATTTATGTTTTGTAAAATTTGAACGACCTGTCCATTACATTTCTTATATCTACATTTAATTAGCAATCACGTTTATATTGTGGTTCCTGCCGGACAGTGTTGTTTGATAATAGGAGTCCTGGTTAATACAATTAAGAAAGCGAAGATAATACTTACCACCTGGAGGTGGTGGGGCTGCTGTAGTCGGCGCTACTGATGGATGTAACATATGTGTTTAAATATTGATATTACGATTGCATTGATATTTAACTAGACTTTACTTTATGTGGTTCATGTGCATTTTCCTCAAATTTCTGTAAACAATTGCTCTCCCTTCATCTGTGAAGATCGTCTTTTTGATATTTTTCAGCGTTTGCAAATTGAGACTTAGGAGGGGCAAAACTAGCGAGTCTGTAGTGTACACAGATGGTGGGTATACATTCCTTTACGCGATAACCAAGAAGTGAAGATCATTATATTTTTATGTTATTATCCATTAAGCGATATTGCCATGACGTGAAAGTAAATTCTCACAATGATACTTATTTCTGATTTGGTTCAAACAAATCAGCAATCAAGGAACGATTCTAGAAAATTTTGGAAAAGAAGAATAGATTTAGTTTGTTTAAATTCAACTGTTTCCCGGTTTACCGGAACACTTGTACATCTTGTTCATCTGTTCAATATCAACTGGACTAAGGCCTTTGCGCTGACCGATGGTAACCTGTAGGATTAAAGAAAAAATATAATTTATTTATCGCAAGAATGGAAGTAATTCCCTTCTGCAATTTAATGGAAGTGGAAACTGGTGATGGAAGATTATTTTTTGGCTGTTCCGTTGACAAAAAAGGTTGCTGTTGAAGCTAATCCCCGGAGAGGGGGGTACTTCCTTATATGGGCTATGTATGTATGTGCGGCCCCAAAGGGTATGGTTTTTCAGCCGTTTTGGTCATAAATAGGGTATCGAGTTTAGCTGATTTTGGCCATTTTGGTCATAAATAGGGTATTGTTTTTACACTCTAGCCTTGATATGGGTATGTTTTTAACAAGAAGCCACTTTTTCATCATTATCGAAAAGAAAACCAACAAAAACCCTCCACAAATTATGTTTACGGTAATTTAACATTGGTCTGAACTAGGGAGCTAATTATAACTCAGGTCTGAAAAAGGGTTTTGATTGAAGGGTCATGTCATAAATTGAGTTTCAAATTTTTAGTCAGGTGATCAATAGGGTAGGGAATATCGCAGATTTTGGTCATAAATAGGGTAAGGGTTTTGGGAGGTGGGCTGCACATCACTACCTAATTTTTCTGGGAGTACCCCCGGGGAAGGTAACTCAGAATGTATTAAGCGAGTTAAACGGAAGACACCGTCTTCTATTTACTTACTCCTGGTTTCTTGGGCACTATTGTCGGCCGGCCATTTTTGCTGAAGTATTTAGAACCATAATGCATCACAGATTTATAATCATAAGGTGTTCCCATGGAGTCGATGACATTTGAGCCGTATTTTTTGAAATTGCCTTTGGCCGCTATTCAGTGAAAATAAACACACACACAGATTAGTAAGTATTTTACGATAACTGCATAAATTCTCGCGCACCCATTGGCTAATTTTTGTCATCAATAAGCGGAGAGACATATGAATATATCATTTTGTGATGCGTCAACAAGCAAGAGCGGACAATTTGACAGTTTGTTATCGTCAAAAACAAATTGACGTGAGTTTTTCGTGCGTCTGTCCTGTTATTGACAATGAATTTCGTCATAACATTGTCAAAGTAGTCTGCGGATGCACTCGGTTATCGCCTTATGGATCCACAACTACTTTGACAATGTCATGACGAAATTCATGATCAATAACAGGACGACAGACGCATGAAAAACTGACGTCAATTTGTTAAGTTGTTATTGATATTGTTCATTTAGTTGAACGAGTCCACAGTTTTGGAAACACTTTGAATTATTCTTATTAGAAACTGAAAGGAAAGTACTAGCTAAACTTGAAAGAATCATTTGATTTTTTTTTTTAAAATGGATACGAACTTTTTAAAAAGAGTATATAGCTGCTATGCATGTATACATTACATGTATATCTATAATGTAAGTGAGGTATACATAAAGTCGATAGGGATAATTGGATTATACAATGGAGTCAGTGAAAATTAACAAAATCAGCATCTGTTTACTCACATTCTTTGATGTTTCCATATTTGATTGTCACATACGTGTCTCTGTCAGGTCGTGACTGCTCGTGAAATAATCCCAGGGCGTGTCCTGTGTGAAATAAAAAAGATTAAATTAAATTAAATTAAATTATCATCTCTGCGTAAGCAAAGTGGAAAATAATAATCCCTTAGTTACTGAGCGGGCGGGCCGTACTAAGGAATATTGGCCCGAGGCTGAGTTCAGCGAGGTCTGTACTAAAACGACCGAGGACCAATATTCCCCACTGCGGCTCGAGTAAGTTGGGTAAGTTAGCAGTTCATTGCATGTCACTCCATGGAAGTCGCCGATTTTGAATTTGTCGGGCTCTCGGAAACGAAAAATTCGCGGCTTATGACCTTTTTATGGATACGGTTCGATCAGATTTACCTTTATATTGCCATAAAGTAACACCACTTATTACTGGAAAGTCACGTTTGCATGCGCGAAATAACTTTTACCAGGTCATACGGCGTGGGTACGGCTTACGCCAAGTGTTACATAGACTGACGTTTTCAATTCACCAAGAACAAGCTTCAACAGTTCAAGTTGAAGAAATCAAGATTGCTTTATTTGCTTAATACTATTATTTCTCGTTTGTTTTGTAGTTAGCTGTAAAGACATGAATGATCATCGCAGTTATTTACACAGCTGAAGCAGTTGTGCGGAATGAGGCCTGACCAACAACAACAAAAAATCCAGGATTGGACGGGAAAATCCACGCTTGTTTCGTAAGCTTTGCCTTTCACAGTGCAATCTCACCTATCTCGTGTACAACTGTTCCTGTATACCAGCACCCACCGGCCAGAGATAACCGTTGCTTCCCGCCTATTTTCCCAACATAAGACCAGCAACTGAAAAACAAGAATAATAATTTCAAATAATATAAGTGAAGGTCGTCAAAGCTGTGCTTACACAGATGTCAGTCATACGTTTAGCTGGCTTTTTGAAATACGGGTTATCTTACAATATATCGAAACAGCTCTGTTCGAGATGGGCGTGTACAGTGAATAAGCTAAGCCGTCAATGTGGCCTATCGATGAGCTGCTTTTAGATTGTAATCAGCTGGTGAAAATAATTTCTCGAGTTTAAACAAGACGCACTAAGCCCTCGATTGTCCTTGAGGCGCGAGTGGTTGTTATCCTACTTTATGTCTGCACTGTTTATCTCTACTATGCAATGTTTTTCATCGACATCACACCATGCAGGCTTGTTTGTCTTGCTTATCACTGAGAAAGTCACAAAACCTTAATTCAGTAGCGTCTTTGCAACTTCAAGAGCTGCTTTTAGACAAAATTTGAGAATTAAATCGTTAGAATTTGTATATTACTGGAATATTTAATGACAGCAAACGTAATTTCCTCGATTTGAGACTTTAAATTTTTGTAAACTTACCCGCCTCCCTTGAAGAAGGATACATAATCTCGTTCGTTTGTCCTCTGTTTAAACGTAATGCATGTATTCTTCTTATAATCAGCAAAAGCTGCATTAATTGCCGCCATCGCCTTCGACGCTGATGCTATGGAAATAAAAAAAAGAATGTCTGGTTAGTTTCAGCATGTAATGAAATAAAGCTTACAAGTGGCAGCGTGGCGGTGAGTTTAACCCCTTTACTTTACCACAAGATGGCAGAATTGTTATTGTTATTCCTAGATCCACTATTCAGCCACACGAGTAACCGAATGCTATCCTTTTGCCAGTTTGCATTAGTTTATTAGAAACTATAAGTAATTTCTGCAGCTTATCTCAGTAGTCAATCTCCAGTTATTTTTATATATATGGAGTGTTGTGAGCAACGTTTTAAGAAGGGAGCCGAGAAAAAAAAGTTACTTTTATTCCATTTTCCATCGCCCTTGAAGTGTGTATTGGGAACAAGAGAAGAGACACCAACACGTTAAAGGACAGACATTCCTGGAGAAGATAAGAGCAGATTGCAACTCCATTCTCAAGAAATCAGATGTTGGCTAAGCGAAGAGTCAGAACAACCGTCGCGGATATAACACTCACTTAAAAGTAGTTCATAAGTGTGCGAACTATCTACGTACACAAATCCTGCAAACGTGCTCCGATGTACACGCAAGCCATATCGTGTAGTCCTAATTAAACACTTTCAGAAGAGCAGTTTGAAATGTTACTTACAAAGTGAGCTATCAATCTCGTACACGATAACGCCATTAGGCCATCTTTTGTTTGTAATCGAGCCTTTCTGTAGACCTTGTATAACTGCTTTCTGTTGGGGAGTTAAGACAATGTCGCCTTCAAAGAGTTCTTTGCCTTGCCGTGATAAGCGCCTATTCTCTGCAAAAAGAAAGACGAATTGTAAATTAATTGATTCGTAAATATTTTTGTCTGGTCTCAGTGTGATTAAAATTAGTGAGCGGAGCCGCTGTAGGTCGCCCGCGAAAACGTTTCTCATACTGTTCCCTGCATTATATGATCGTGTTCTCCGATATCACTGTTACTGCCATACAATAGCGATGAAAGGAAAGTAACCGCCACTTGCATTTAACAAAACAAAACAAAACAAACAGTAACGTATATTTTGATCTACAAGTCTTTTCACTTACCCTCAGGTGAAGGGAGCAAGGACTGAGCAACTCCGATTACAAGACAGCAAAGCAAAATCACCGCTTTCATTTTTTCAACTGACCAACCGTTTTATCCGTAACTCTTCTCTTGGAACACCCGCTCGACTGTTGTCTCGATCTTAACGTTACTATCAGGCACAGTCAACTCTTACACACAGGCGCTTAGAATTCAGCAATAAGAAAGTTATGATAAACGCTTCTGCGATGGTTTTTTCCTAGGAGTGGGGACCAGCCCTGGTCCATGCATTAAGCGTAAATTGTTTAATATTTTTCGTTTTAAGTAGTTCTGCGACAGTTCCCTTCAGAATTACGTAACCTCGTTGTAAGCATGTAATTAGCGATTGATTGTACTCTTTCCCGCCTTTAACATTACGTAACAATCATCAAAGAATTCCCTTTTTCCGTTCAAATGCTGCCTTTGTGATTTTTAAAATCCTTTTAGCGTTGTTCCCCTGTGTATCACATAAGAATCTTTGATGCTTTTTTCTGCACCAGGAAAATCTTTGATTTCTACTTTACGTTGAAAGACTATTGAACAATTTTACATTCCTTAGCCACTTCTTAGGCGTAATTTCTCTCCAATATTTCTATTGTAGCATTTATTTGTGACTCAGTTGCAGATGATTGTCAACATTTTTGCCCCACCCTCAGTATATCAGTATATCGTTGCAATTCACACATTTTTCAAGTGTCATATCGACTCCTGGCCGCCTCGACCATTTCTCTGCCACAATAATATATCTCAGTCTTGAAATCTAAAGAAATAATCTTAGCGTCGGCTACCTATCCAGTAGTCGCCACCCGAAGGCTTTAATTTCACATTAACAATAACCTTTTTCTTACATTGTTTCCTTTAAAGAAAAAAAAATCCTAACGCGTAACATTAAAGTCTCGTTTTTCTGCTCTCTGAGTTTATTCAAATCGCTGCTGCATTTTTTCTGTGTTTGTCTATTAATTTATTAGCATGTTCGGGGGGTGGAGTACAGGCGGGTTGAAAAATCATGTCATTAGTTAATGAATACAGCTTCTCGTTTTGAGCCAAGAGATTAATTATGACTTAAATTACTTGACGTTCTTGCAGCATTTCAAACTTATACTCAGTTAAAACCGAGTTTAAGGAAGTGTATATTCATAAATCTGCAGGCTTCAAATATTTGTCAAATTGAACCCGGAGTCAAAAGGAACAGGGCGAATCCAAAATTTGCTTTGGAGGTTGATTATCTCAATACGCTGTGAAAATTATATGGTCAAGGGATACATCCAGATGAAATTATTAAATTATCTTTTATAGTCAGCAGCAAGCAGTAAGACCTACTTGATCAACCTGATAAATTTTGCTCCTTAACATTTTAGCCTGGATTGGAAAAGTATACGTAGTGGTACAGACGAGCTTTTAGTGTACTTAAAACAAAATAAATTTGCCTGCCTGCGGAAAGAAATTCGCAATCAGAACGAGAAAGATATCGATAACAAAGCCTAAAAAAAAAATGCGCTTGGTTGAGTGACCAAAACGTTATTCATGTGTCGGACATGACTAGAGTGTTTCAATGTAACTTACCTTCGGGGTGTGCGGAGAACACCCTCCCCAAAACAAAGCAACATAACACAATTAGAACCGTCATGTTGCTCCAACTGCAAGATGTGAATATCGATGGCCAGGGGCTCTCTTATAAGACCCGCTCAGCCTTTATCACATACAGCTGTCTCAATTTTCAATTCATTTGACAATGCATCGAGCGGTTGATAGAAAATTACCTACTAAGCGACTTGATCACCCTTTTTACTGTTTCTCAATGTTTAATCGCAATTAACACCGTAAATGACTCGCAGAAATTAACAGCGAACCACTTTGCCTGGTCTACTATTACTAATATCAGTTAATGCTATAGAA